AAAGGTATACTAATTTAACCTTATGGTTAGCATAAATGTGTAACAACGCCAGGTGGCATGAATGCTTTCACATATTTCAGCAAACTCTGACAGCATCTTCCTCTGTCACTTTACAAAGAACTAATCTGTGAGATGCTCTTCATGAAGCACAATAAGAAAATGCATAAAACGGAAACCTTAGGTAATGTGAACTTAATCACTGTGTGGGAGTCCTCTTGGATCCCTAATGTCCCGAATTTCAAACCTAGGTGTCAGTTTGAGGATGACAGATGGGGGAGGGATTTGTTGTTGCAAGAAAGTAAGGTTGTGGGATTCTGACTAAATTCTGCAAACTTTTGACCCATATGCTGCTGAGCAAATCACGCAGATACCTTTGAGTAACTTTACTCTAAAGGATAAACTGGTATGGAATGCTCACAAGCTCACAAGAAAGGAACTTTCACTATAAAATCCTTGTATGAGCTCCTCATTTCCAAGCACTTGAGGCAGAGACCGGATGCAGAACCAAGCAGGAAAACAACAAGAAGCTAATGTGTGAAAGAACCTGGAAACTACCAGTCAATAACAAGATCCAGAACTTTGTGTGGAAAAGCTGGCATGGCTTCCTCGGAACCAAACAGAAACTGAAGAAAAGAGGCATGGGGAAGTGAATATCATGTGCAAAAACTGTGAGAGGAGCCAGAGGACAAAGACCATATATTCTTCAACTACTAAAGGATAAGATGTGTTGGAAACTCCTGGGGATATCTTGGAATAGGCTTCAGGTACAAACTCATTCCTTTAAAGATTGGTGGCTAGAAATTGCTTGTGCTCAGAATACCAAAACCATCAAAGATAGGATAAGTTTATAAACTTACCTTCTTTGGTGGCATTGGAAAACAAGGAATGAGTGGCTGGTTGAAAATAGTTGGATTTCAGAGGTTGAGTTGGTAGACAAGGTAATGTTGGATTTCAAGTGATTGATGAGTTTTAGGATCTCCTGCAGAAACTGAGAAGACCTAACAGACTGAATGGGAAATTTTACTCGTATCGCAGATTTTTTTTCTGTCGGTGCTCCCCTCCCCGCAGTAGTTTGCATATGACCAAGGGTTTAGCCAAGAAAGATGTATCTCTGATCAAAGAATGGTACCAAAACCGCCATGTTCTATAGCACTGCTCTTGCAACTGAAATGGCAAACATTAGATGGCTGATGGATGAGGCAAGAAAAGAAGGCTGGAAGGAGATAGTGTGTTGGATTAGAAACAAGACTTTAGCAGATTCTTTTAACCAGAGATTGATGTTTGATTTAGAGTTGAATGTATTTACCTAGGACATCTTTCTTCTTGCTAGTTTCTTCTCCTCTTGTGTGTTGTAGTTGTTAGTAGGTGTTGTTCTATGAGCAAGGGTGTTGCTTGTTTACCCTTGGTGCTCGTTTTACGAGTTTCATAGATGGTCTTATCGTTTAAAAAAAAAACACAAAAAAAAAAGAAACAAACTTAAGTATATTCATGATAAATGTTCTAAAGTTCAATCAGTGGAGAAACATACAAGTTTAGCAAAACAAGCCGCTCTGTTTGCATGACATATAGACCGTATTTCACTAGATGACGGACCATCTGGTGCAACTTGTAGAGCAATCTCATACTTGGATAATGCCTCTTCATACTCCCCACCATTAAACAATGAATTCCCCTCAAGTTTTGCATCATTGGCTTTGGCTAACATTGTCTACTTCAACGAAAGAAAATAAAAGTTAGTCAACACAGGCAAAGGAATTGCAGAGCTTGGCTCAAAGAAACAAAAGAGAAATGGAACCCTGAAGACAAATCAATCAGAAATAACACAAATTATATTTTAAATCAATGCCAGCTCTGGTTGCCTAACTGTTAGTCACAAAAGTCATACTGTAACAGCAAAACAGTCGGTAACATGTATTTCTAATACGATCCCACATGGTTCACTTGAATCAATCAAAGCAAATTTAAGCCACAATTATAGTTCACATATCTCTTCTTTCTTTGTTGAATCCAAGTTAAGTCGCAGCACAACATTTGAAGGGAAAAGGAACGAGAAAATCTAGCCATTTACCTCATTCGCTTCAGTCTCGGTTGTTTCAGTCTTCCCTTCTCCTTCGTTGACCTCACGACTGACCTCATCGCCTCCATTTTTACCACTGCTTAAATCATTACGATTGACGGGGCCATTGTCTTTATCGGAATTGGAGTCATTTAGCTCGGAATCACTGGCAGTCTCGTATCCATCGGAACAGTGCCCCGATGGCGCAGTCGCCTCCGGGCTTGGCCGTGATCTGGAGACGCTTTCACCGGCGGATTCTTCCTCTATCACCGCCATGTCTTATCGGAGAAAAGTAGGTAATAATTTTGAGAACCTATTTCATCTATCTATTCCTTTTATTTTTTAAAAAATTTCTAAAGTATATATAATAACTATTTTATTCGATTTTTAACCTTTAATTTATCTTTTTTTTTTTTCACTAAATTAAACAACAAAAAATACAAAATACAATCCAGCATAAACTAAACCTCTGATACCAACCCAAACAAGGGGTCTCTTCCAGCTTAACTAGTAGTCTCGTGTTTGAGCTCTGGAAATGCAGCAGTGTTAAAACTCTTGAGGGAGAGCTTTGCCGCCCTTGTGGTCCTACCCGGCTCGATTC